TAGCATGGGGGGAACAAAGGAAGAAAAGGATCATTAATTTCTTTTACAGAGGCAGGGGCCATCGAGAAAACCAAATGAGTCTTTAGTTCCTACATCTGACTTTGGTATTTAATAAAAGATAATAACGTAGCTGTTGAATACTTTTTGGTTATTTTGATTTTCTCTTTTATTCATGTCATGTCATAAAGTGAAAAACCTGATGGCAAATTTGTATGTTTTCCTTGAGACCTTCTGCTGTTCAGTGCTGGAACGGGTTAACATTTCCAGCTGAGCAGCTGTTCAGCTCCTCTATCCTAGAGCAGCAAACAGTCATCTGTGCTCCAGAAATGGCTGTACGTGGTAACCCATCCACTAAGATGTCACTTACATGAAATACAAAGAAAATGCTGAGGAGTTGTGGTTTGTTTTTTGGTTTTTTTTTTCACTTAGAAGAGATTGTCCGCATTCTTTCAGTACTTCCCACCAGCAGTAACAACTGAGACACATGGAGTTCTGTGCCAGGGAGTGAGCAGTCTCCAAGGTAACAGGGACACTGAGCTGCAGTCGGAAATGCCCCAAACTTTATTTAAATTAATATACCCCAAATTCATTCCTATTAGAGGCTTTGTGGCTGATTTAGATGTGGTCAAAAAACAAGCGGACACCTGAAATGAAAAGGTGGTGAAATTTAATCTTGAAGGCAATAGCTTTGGTACATTGGTCGTTCAGAACTTTTAAATGGAGACACGTCATTTGTAAAATACATGATTAGTTTATCATCCCTTTATTAATAAAAGGGTAATAAGCTTTGTCTTTGAAAAATAAGCAAACTTGAATAGGTAAATGTCTAATATGATGTTGTGACAGTTTTATGGCTGTACATATTTAAAACTAGATTGCTAAAAGCTCTGGAACATATTCACAATGAAGATGAATTTGCATGTCCCTAAGTTAAAATTTCTGGGATCCTCTGTCTTATTAATAAGTACAGCTGAGCATTTAAATCTTAGGAAAAGGGAGGGGAAGTCTTTTGTGAAAGTAGTTTAGCTCTGAGAGACTTCCATTTGCTAGATGGGGAAAATGGGCCACAACATTTTGGTAACAACAAATTGAAGAACTCGCAAACTAATCCCATACTCTTTATTGACCCTGGCGCATTTGATATGTGCCCATCAAAGTGCCATCCTGCAGCTACACAGCTGTGACCCCGAAGGAGTTTTGATGGGAGTTCAGTTTAGGCTTGCTAAAACTGCAAGGCCTCCAGCCCAACTGGCTTGAGAAGTGCCTGTAGCTGTTGTTAAGCTAATGTTCATTTCTAAGAGGCTGAAATACTGACTAAAACAGTAAGGATTGAAAACAGACCTATTTCACTTCAGTATTACTGGTCAACGTGGACCTGCATGAGCGTAAGCGCTCCCTGAAGCCAAAGCGCACGCTGGAGCATATCGTAAAGGCCCAAATGTGCCCTTTAAGAGCGGATATAAGCTAAAAAACACAAAGTAGACCCGCCGGGTTTTGAAGCGCAAAGGGTGAGCCTAACAAACGGCCCTCCTTTAGGAAGGAAGGAAGGAAGGGAGGGAGCCGGCGACGGCAGCAGGCAGGCAGCGGACCTCCCTCAGTAGGGGCTCTGAGGCGGCGCTAC